CAAAGAGCCACAAAACCTCAGCATGGTTTGAAGCGGTTTTGCTGAAGGGAAGCAGCTGTAGCAGCTGGCCTGGATTCTGAAATGTGTTTGGGAAAAAATCCCCAACAAAACAACAAAACTCCCCACATGTTCAAGACATACATATCTGCAGAGAACATCAGGAGAGCCTTAGAGAGCTCAACAGGGGCTGGACGAGAACCACACCTCTCCCCAGGAAGGAGTGATGAGTACACAGGGACTCTCACTCAATTTGCTCTCTTACTTTCCTTGTGCAGTCTCTACCAGCTTTTTTTCTTCCCAAAGGTAGGCTGGGTTAGAAAGCTCTTAACACTCCTCTTTCCACCAAGTCTGTTTATCTGAGCAAGTCCAATAGGCCTGAATCCAGCTACAACAAACTTTCTGGGCACCTCTGACTGTTATGAAATATAGTGACTCAGCCAAGCTACATTAAAAAGAGAACATATTTTATTTGTTTACTGGAACCTAGTAAACCAGAGCAGGAAAAAAAAAGCATCAGAAAGGACACATCCCCACATGAAAGCTTAGTCCTTCTCTCTGACCCTAGGCAGGTGTCTCTATCTGGCTTTCTTCCTCCCCATAGACTTTTGACTGTCTGCCTCCCTCCCCAGGCCCATAGCTCTGCACTTCAGACACAGGTCACCCGTCCTGTGATGCAGTTGAATCAAAGGTATCAGTGCTTATTTATGACCAGCATTTCCCCACAGTTCCCATTGCCATGGTGAGCAGCAACAGAGCCTGAAATATAAGGTCAAAACATAGCCTAGATATCTCCCACAATCCATATGGCATAATCATTTTCTGAGGAAATTTCTGGCATAAATTTGCACTTGCTCTCTGACCAAAAGCACACCTCAGCTCAACACTCTGGACTCCTAACTGAGCTCCTGAGACAGAGAACAATAAACATCCCTTAAAAGCTTGAACTCAGATTCCTCTGCAGAAACTGAAGAGGATCTTGCCAGTTCCTTATAGGTTATCAGTGTTACTTCTTTGATCTCTGTCAGCCTCACTGTGTTTCCTTCTACCATTTGGAAGTTCAGGGCCATGGCACATATCTGCACTGCTTGCCAAGCACCCCAATATTATTTCATAGGAATTTATTATTTTCCATCTTTCAGAAGCTTTTCAGCCTATCCCTGCATAAATAAGGTATGACAATATAGGTTGCATGTCGGGTTTTCGGCTGTTTGAAGGGCCTGGAAAGGCCCGGAGTGGCTTTGGGACAGCCCGCGTATCGAAGGACGAGAAGAGGCTTCAGTTCTTCTTTCGGTTTTTATGTTTATTAATTGTTTATCTAAAAGATGTTCTTTCAGCCCGACAGAGATCTGCTCAGCAGTCAGCCATGAGCACACTGTGCCGCCCTCTGGGCAGGCACCTATCTTTATACCCATTGTTACGTGTACAATATTTATCATTTTTCCCCAATACCATTTATTCTTATTACTCGGTGCACTTTCAGTAATAACCAATCCAAAGGTGCCACCATCACCAAAGAAGATGGAGGAGAAGAAGAAGAAGAAGAAGGACAGGACACACCCCAATTCCTCCATCTTGCTTCTCTAAACCCCCCTGTACATAAATCCTAAACCCTGTGTCTCACCCTCTAATTAACTAATCCCTTCACCATTCACCCCGGTGAAGTCCTCTTATCTTCATACAGGTGTCGTCTCCCGTGTAGGGTCGAAGTCCTGCCACCAGACACTTCTGGCAACATTCCAGGACTCCCGGGCCCCCCAAGGGTGGTCTCGGTGGCTCAGCATCTCAGGACTCAGATCCTGAGATCCCACAGTTGCATGTGAATATATTTGTGAAGACAAACCAGACCTCTTCCCCAGTTGCTATTCCACTGAAAATCAAATGTCAGTCTGAGTGTCTTGGATTACTCAGAGATAATGCAGTCAGCAGCACAATACAGTTATGTGAACTGTATCAAACTAATCAGACATCGAGACAGAGGAAAAAATAGGAGAAATCAAATGAACCCTGGAAGGAGGCATCAAGTTCAGGTTGCCAGGACTGCACATACTGAAATACCTGAGGAAAGATGAAAATTATTGTGGTAAGTACATCACAGTTTAGGCCAGCCTAAGAGAGAGGCTGTCCACTTGGTGGAAACCTGGACAAAAGCAGATATTCAGCCTAAGAGACTGTGTTCTGGAGACAGGTATGAGGACACAAAGTATGAAGCACCAAAAAGGCAGAAACATAATAATAACATACAATCGCTGCCTTGTCTCAGCAAGAGTCAAAATTAAATTACTGGGGCCTACCAGATTTCAGTAAAAATTGACATTTCTGGGCATTAAACAGGATTATTCAATAGATGAGAAGACAGAAGTACAGTATTGAAAATGTGTCAATATATCAGAGTGGTGATACTTCAGCCCAGTTTGGTATCCTAGGCTTGATGAATAATACACTGGGCAAGACAGAAGCTTTTCATTTCTGTGTTACCTCCTGTATCACCTCAGCCTTCTCTGGATTAATTTTAAAGCAGCTATTTTGGAACTTGTGAAAACAAAGGCACCTCCATGTCAGTTTTAGCCTGGGAAACTGTCAAAAATCCAATTCTAGCTGCAGCTTATGTAGAACCAAATGCAGACTCAGGCTTTAATTTTGACATAAGTACCATAACACAAAGACATCAGCTGTTTTTTCCTCTGTAAATTGCAACAGATCTTCTCCACTGATAAGTTTTCATGTCATAGTTGCTTTCTGATCTGAAAACAGTGCAATTTAGAAATTCTTCTCCTCTACCTTGATACAATCTTGAGGAATGCAAGTGAATTCATTTTAATCTGCAACACCAGCAAGATGAAAGAGAATAAAAAAATTTAAAGAGATCAAAATTAAGAAAACGATGTAATATCCAAGGAAAACAAATATTTAGCCAGAAAATAGATATAGCTGAATGGAAATTGTCCTGTGCAATATAAAAAGTGCTGGTAACACTTTTTTGGCTTGGCTTTGTTGTTTCAGTCCTAAGAGATCTGAAATGTTTGCTTTGAACTGCTACTGACCATACACATCAGTTTGATGAGAAAGACCAAAAGTTTAGTATTAAGTGTGTACCATAAGCTGAGGAGCAACAGCTCAGAAGCTGTGTCATTCATCAGGCAAAAGTACACTACAGCCTTCATATAGGGAAATAAGTCCTCTCTTGAAGAAAGCCCATGGAGTAAAAACAAAAGAATACTGTAAGAAAGAGCAAAAGCTCTCAGTGCATTGAGGTGACAAGCGTGCAGCACATCAGAACTTTCCAAAACACTGCTGCACTTTCTAGGTCACCACATGCAGGTTCCAATATCTTTCCAAAGGAAAGAGTCTGGAAACTGGTCTGGAAGATAGTCCTGATCAACTCCTACATGACAGATATATATGTCACTATATTATGGGACTGAACAGCAGCAAGCCAAGTCTCCTTCCTGAAGGTAAGATGATCCTGTGCAAGTCATTTCCCTGCCTTCCTCTTGATATTTCCAGCTGTAGCAAAGACAATAATGATGATGCCCACTGTATTATGCATCTAGATAAGATGTTGAAAATAAACAGAAGTGGATACATACTTAAGATGAAATAACTTGCTGTGGCTTCTTCTCCTCACTATCATGCAAGGAAGCATAACAAGATATTGAACTGAAATGCATTTGGAATTGGACAATCCAAATTCAACCCTCGCAGTGTAAGAATTAGCATCACTATTAATACGCTGAATACTGCTTCTCCAAAAATCTCAAGGTGAAAGATCAGAATTCACCTCTAGATCAGAATATCACCTCTAGAAGGTGGGAGTTTTTCTCACTCCACAGGTATGTTATCATAAATATTAATTGGAAAATGTCTATGTACTTCAAATAGGAGGGGGGAAATGTGCCCAGACTGGAGATGCCCATGGCAGCTGCAGTGAGGAAATAAGAAACTAAAGAAGTCTAGACCAACATGAAAGCTTTTAACATGCCACTGTAAAGGTTCAAGTATCAGTTAGACAGAGTCTAACTGACTCTGTGACTTTAAGAGTCAGATGATTTTATCACCAATCATCTTTATGATCGTGCATACTCAGCAGAGAGGAGCTGTGGACACAATTTGACTCTCATTATTTGAATCCCTAAATCTTTTCAATTTCTATTCAATTTCTAAACACAACTCCTAAAAGAAACAGCAGAAAAGTCTTACTGAGCAACCATATAATCATAGAATACCGGGTTGAAAGGGGCCCTCAGGATAGTTTTGCAGTGGCACTCTCAAGGCAATGCTCACCTCACCTGTGCCATTCTTTCACAAGCTTGTGGGCAAGCTTGGACTTGCCCAGCCCAAGGACTCCAAAGAAAAATGTAGTTGTCACCTGTACCCAATGTTCATCTAAATAACAGTCCCCAGCAGCAGGAAATTGACACAGCACAGCTATTTATGACACAAGCACTCTGTCATCTGCATCACCCACACCTTCTCTCTTTCCTTGGTAACTCTTGGAAAAGAGCTTACCCTTCCCTTGGACTCCCTTTGATAGCAAGGGACATCCATTCGGCTCTTCTCAGTGGAAGGAAATCCTCATGGTTCTAGGTATCTGTGACAGCCAAGGCTTACCTATTCCCTCTGGTTGTCTGAGCACATTATCAGCCCAGATGAAGATTATAATGGATCCCTGATGGCTTTCCCCCCAAAGCCAAATCTCTCCTTTGCTGCTTTATGAAAGTTGAAATATTTATGTGGGAATGTACCAATATCAAAATTCCATGTAAGATTTTTTAACTCTAGGATGGAACTTCAAAAGGAAACTAAAGAAATCTGCTCTGTGAGTACCAGCACCTCTGTAAAACAAATACAGCAGCGATGAAGGATCTCACAGGATGCCACATCTTTGAAACTCAGTATCATGCAGCATAAATTCAGTCCCCTGATACATCCATCCTCTTTTCTACCTCCTCTAACTGACTACATTTGAATCATGCATATGAGAAAAAACATCAGGACAGTACCGTTAGCTGCACTACAAGTCACAGAAGCACAAATGGCATGGAACGTCTGAGCCTTTTAATAATGATGCTCTTCTCCACTGCAGATCACCTGGCATGCACAGTTCAGCTCTCTGAAAAAATAATGCAGTCATTCCCTGATTAAATTACTCCTGGAGTGGAAAAGACATTGAGCAGCCTGCCTGTTTCAATTGGCTGTGTAGTGACTGAGCTCCATGAATATGGAAATAATTAGAAATGCTAGACCAATACAAAGGAGGACGAGGAATATGTGACCCACATAAAGGGCATGCTGGAGTTGCATGAAAGTGAAATCATACTGTAATACTAAATAAGTAGTTTAGTATTGCTATCAGTGATGGAGGTTAGAAAACAAATGAAGATTACTTCAGTAAAATGCCAACTGAGATACAAAGCCTTTTCAAACGCATTTTACAAGCTCCTTTCTCCTAGGAAAGAGGTAAAATTGAGATTTTATTTTAAATCCTAACTCATAAATCTAATCCACACCTTTGTGTCTCTTTTTCTCTTGATGTTTAATAAGTTTACAATATTACAAAGTAGCTGCCAGGCAAGTTTTTTTACTTGGGCTCTGAAGCTTTGACCTTAGTAGTAGTTAATAGCCCAAAAGATTCTAATCAGAGTATGAGAAATAGACAAATACCCTAAGAAAACCAAAAAGCTTTACCACCAGATGAGCCTGTTTTCACCAACTCAAGCAGATGAACTGCTTGAAAGAAAGTAAGAAAACTATGGCCCTGAATTTACTGGAAAAATTCTGTCACATACATCTGTAAAATCTCTAAAAAAAGCTTACATTTTCCTTGGACGTGACTCACTTCCTTGCTTGCCTACCTAGCCCACCTTGCTAACCAGGAAGAACCAGCACTCCAGTATAAGTGGTGCCTGGGTGAAACTGAAGTGCTCTGCTTCCCACATAGTCCTGCAGCTGGAGTACACAGCACATGCAGGCGCCCCGTGTAGCTCTGTCTCTCCTGCCACTCCCTGGAATTGCTGGCCAACAAGGTGTGTAACAGCAGCCTTCTTCAGCTTCTTCTACCTGGCTGTCATAGCAAAAGGCAGATCCAATAGCAGGGAAGACAAACAAAGTCTAAACCACACTGGACAAATGCAAACATCCATACCCACTGAATTCTAAACTTTTTTTGTCCCCATCAGAAAACTAGGGCCACCAATTCATAACAACACTTTTAAGGGGTTCTGAGATGTGCTCTCAAAACTGTTTTGCAGGTACCTTACATTTGCAAAGATCTAGTTTCTTAGTGTAGTTAGTTCCTAAGGATTTTAGAGTGAAGCTTTATTTTCCTTTCTCTAATGCTAAGAAATTTTCCTTTCATTCCTTTAACATTACGTAAGTGCTTTTCATTTCCTGAACAATTTTCAGAGAAAGCCGCTATATTTTTGGAGGAGCTTATTAATTCATAAATTTATATACATAGTTCAATTAAGTATCAGAAAACTTCTCCACTGACTTTTATCTCATGAAATCACCTTGCACTATCCTGTAAATTGAAAGGTCAGTGGCATGTTTTCTATCCCTGTGGCTCAAACAAATCTCTGTATCAATTTTTAAGCTAGCAACCGCTACTTTCACAGTAAGTTCATTAATCTAAAATATTTCTGTTTAAATTTGCTAGGATTAGAAGTAACATTATGATGTGTTATATATTCCCTACAGACAGTTTTTTTACTTAATAGCAGTATGATGAGAAAAAAGCAGTGCAGGTAACATGATTCACTATGCACACCACCATATATTTTGTTAATAGCTTTTTGCAAGATTTCCCAAAGTTTATTTAAAATCTCTTCCCTGAAATCTAAAGGCTACACCTTCTCACAAATAAAATAATACAAAGTTTCCTGTACAAAGCGTTTTTCAAAATTTACCTCTATTACCTTTATTTTCAGACTATTCTAACTGAAGAGGAATGCTTTCCTAAAATACTGGCTCCACATTAAAAGCGCACATGGGAATGACTATTTGATGTAAAGCTCCTCCTTTCAAAATCAATACAACTCAAAGTTTCCCTCTGTGAAGAAAGACAGTACGTACGTGGTCATTGTAAATGTTAATGAAAATATCAGTTGTAGGATACATGAATCAAAGAACACAAATATAGACATACTCTGGTCTGGGCAAGCTGAAATTTAACTGTCCCATCAGGGGTTGGGTGACTGGCTACAAAAGCTGAAAAATAAAAATGCACCCCTCAAAACTGGAAGCCACTTGGTTCACTGAGTGATTACCACTGATCCCTGGCACATGTAGCTCTGTCCACCTCTGTTATGATCATGGCCAGGACTTTCATAACTACCTTCTATTAAATCAATTCATAGGGGAAAATACTGGAAAAATCTTAAAATTGTACAAGTATTAAAATCCCACTTTTAAGACTGAAATATTCTGCCCTCCCAGATGAAGTTGAAGTACCACCTCGGTAGCAGGAATGGCAGCACAGGTGACAGAACATCTCCTTCCCTTTCACCATTCACATCCCAGTAAAAGGTGTGAGTGCAACGCAAACCACTGACCATCAGTACTGGTCTGGGTAACATGAAACTCTCTGAAGATCTCTGCCTTGGTGCATGTGCCTGGGAGGCCTTTGGATATTCAATCACTCCTGTGGTTTGAACATTTTGGCCTGTAATTCTTTATTAAGCCAACTTTCAAAATAAATTATCTTTTAGTAAACCAGGTGGAGTTACAGATCACTCAACTAGTTTGAATTAAGTGATTCTGATTTCTAAATATGGCTATACAATAAAACATAATCTAGTAGGCAAAAATCTGACCTTAAATGCAGGATATATAAGTCCAGCTTTTGGCTCTGCCACGGGCACAGTGGCAAGATTCTGTGTGAGTCTTTTCACCATACACAAAACAGGAACAATAAGAGATTTGCCTCAAAATCTGAGCAACATTATGAGTAGATGATTAATAGATATATTGGGCTACAGACTTTTGGCTTTGAAAATCTTGATCCAGTTTCTTATCCTGGAAAGGAAGCTGGGATTATTCATTTTAAGAACTGTCAACTATTTATAGCCTCAGCTATAAAAAAAAAATTCTTTTAAGAAATAACAAGCCAGAAACCTCTTGCTGCCCAACCATCTCCAGTAGAAACAATTCCCAGGGGTATCTACATACTGTTCCAATGTTGCTGGAGTGCATATTGTTCCATGTCTTCTTGCCAGTAAATTGCCAAACCACTGTCAGACACATGATGGAGAGGAAAAAGGAAAAAGCAGTTCTGAGGATTTAACTTCAGTAGAGTTTCTATCACTGTTCTGTTACTTTAGGAGGATGATGCTCATGTCCAAGGGAGTCAGTAACATTTTTCTGTTATCAAGGAAATGCAGCCTGATCTAGTGGAAGGTGTGCTTGCCTATGGCAGGGGGGTTGGAACTAGAGGATCCTAAAACAATGTTCAATGCTAATGTACTTTTAAGAACATTCCCATTGGCATGGAACTGGGCTAAAAAAGTACAGTTTAGCCTAAAACACACAAACCTGTTGATGATGAACCTGAAAACAGAATCCAGAACTGTAACTACTCTAACAGTGAGGTACCTTAACAAAACCAAAAAAACACACAGCTCTCTGCTATCTTCTGACAATCAACTTTCTGTCTCCGTGTCAGAGGAAAGACAGAGCTCTGCACAACATTGAATGTGTTAATTTACTTGTTGGTAGAGAATACAGCTCACCATGAAGACATTTTTTCTGCAAACTAAGTCCCAAAGGGAGGGGAAGATATTTACTCCTATTTTGACTAAGCAGTCAAGTATAAGAATGTAACACCTACACTAATAAAGATATCAGTGAGTCTCTAAGAAGGAAATCATTGAGGACAATGATGACATCTTATCTGGGTACACACAAACAGTTGAGGATGAAAGATTAACACTGCACTGTCTCAAAACTTTTGTAGTGCAACTGAACAAAAAATGAGAGTTTCTTCAAGAATCAGAAAATGACCTGAGGTATGCTGGTGTGGACAAAGATGCAGTGTGACAGAGCTTTCTCCACCAACTAACTGATGGAGGCTTGTGAGCAGGCTTTCTCCAGGAGATGGGACCTGAAAGGTAAGCTACACGCAAACAAAAAAATTTTGTCAGAAGAGGATCAAGTCAGCAGGACAGGGTGAAAGAAAATAGAAGCTAGGTGTAAATAGATTCAGCATTTTTGCCTTATGTTTTTTGTCCATACTTTTAGTAAGTGTTTCTAAGTGCATTGCTGATTTTAACTGTTACAAACAAAAGTTCATAGTGCATTTCCACTTCACCTCTCTTGGATAGTGCATGGTTTAGACTAATGAGCCTTTCCTTGTCAAGACACAGGTAAGAAAACAAGTACTCAGTTAACCAGGTAATAGGAGCCCAGTTTGGGGCATGCAAGGTGAAATATAGCAAGCCATGAGCTCTCCTCCATTGACTAGGTAGAAAGCTGACACCACAAACTTCATGGAAAAAAATGAACGCCTTCCAGTAAGTCTTGGGAAGCAAGAAGGATGGAATCCAGTAAGATATTGCATCAACTCCAAAGATCCCAAAGAACACACCAGGCCATACACATCACTTATCCTCCTTCTCCATTCATGTTTTCTGGCAAAGTAATGTCCATAGAAATGTCAACACATCGTGGTGGGAGTCTAATAAGACTTGGAAAGCAGTACTGGCTACCTCACAAACCAGAGATCAGAAGGGAAGGGAGGCAGCCCAATACATCATCTGCCAGGGATGGTGAATCAGAGATCCTATCTAGTTTTTTCATAAAAAGGTTCAGAAAACATGTTCTATAAAGACTGCATTAGTTTATTAAACTGCTTAATTTACAGTTTTTAAAGGAACATTTAACTTGAGATAACTTTAAGAATAGGGAATAAAGGAGATTTTTTTTTGCCAGAGAAAAGAGATTGCAGACATAAAGTAGGTATTTGCACTGTGACAGGATATGGATTTCTAGCTCCAAAAAATAAGATGATAGAAAATAATAAGATTTGGTGTAATGTTGATTAAAGGAAGTTAAGCCTCAATGGGTTTAAAACTATCTTAGAATTAATTTATTCATTTGAATATTGTAAATATTTACAGTGGTAAATATTTTTGTTCTATAAAATGAAAAATAGTTTAGTGTAACTTTGTAACTCTGCCTTCTATCATTCCTTACCCCATCCCAAGTAAAAAAAAAACCTCTTGACAAACTGTTAAAGGACACTTCTAAATGGAGCTAACACTAGGTGGAATTCAAACAGCAAACAGCTTCAGAGATGTGAGGAGCCAAACAAGACAGATTTAAAACATTTTGCTAGATCAAAAGTGTTTCTGGACATGCAGTACAGCATGTTTGCCTTAAAAGATGCAGACTCCCCTTGTAAGAGATGCCCCAAATACTCAGATAGATTGCTTTCAATAATGAGAAAACTATAGAAAGCATGAGCAAAAATCTTGAATTATAAAAACTGCAACCTTGATACAGAAAAGAAAAATTAACATCCCTTGAATGGCAAGCTCTTAAATTGTTTGAAAAGAAATATGAACAAGAAATATTATTTTCTAGTTCCCCCTGCACTAATCATAACTCACCAATAGTAGTTTCCCACACAAATCCATTTTCAATGCAGTTGCATTGGGCAATGTTGCAGTGACACCTTTCAGCTATTCTGATGCTCAAAAATAATGATTCAACCTTTTAAAGCTATATACTTCCTGTAAGAAGCAACATTAAGTACACAAGGAAGTAAACAGCTTGATATGAATAACTATTTTATTTGGACTGCTCTTAAAAAAGAATACACAAAAAGTACATTGTATATGTTTGAAAACAATTCTACTCAAGTTAAACATTACCATAAAAGTAATTCTTTTACAAGGAAAGTGATTCACAGTGGAAACAATTTGAAACTCAATTTTACAAAGTTTGCATAAGAACTGCCCACCCAGGTCAAAAAATCCACTCACTCCCACACAATATGATAAGCATAGCGGACAAATCCAAAGCAACTACAAAAAATGATCTTTCATTGATCCAGAGAACACAAGCTAATAGGAACATGCAGATATGTAGTAGATATTGTTGAAATAAAAATACAGGATTTTCCTTCTTACATAGGGAAGGAACAGTTTTGTGACAAGTCTAAACGCATTTTATCAATAAGAAAAACAAATAGCAACAGGATAATCTTAGCAACTATAATGAAAGTAAATACTGCATCTACTTCATAGTCTAATTTCAGAGATAAGGATAAAAAATCGCCTTACCTCAAATACAGCTTGAATAGAGACATTAACAATATGCCTACATCCTTCCTTAGTTTTCTCGATCGCAATCTAAGAAGAAATACAAAGTAGCAAATAACTATCTTTCCTTCAGACAGCATATGCCCAGGAATAACACACTTCCCAGTAAAGTGTGCAGAAAAGAAATAAAAAATTAAAACTCAAAAAGACAATCCTTGCAAAAAAAAAAAACCCAGAACTTTATATATTTGAAATTCATAGTATGATTTATTGCATTTTAAGGGAGTAGAGACATTCAGGAATTAGATAATATAGACTTAACTGTGATATTACGTCAATGCTCACTAAAATATTAATTCAGTACATTTGTCCACAAAAGGAAGATTGTAAATTCATCCACACAGAACCTGGACACTGGAGACATAAAAAGATTTCTATTCCAGTAGTAGGCACACATGGGCTCACACGATACAGCCTTATTAACTTGCTTTTTCCTCCCAAATGACAGTGCTTACCAAAGTGACACTCAAATGTTAAATGCTCTGGTCAAGAGTTCAGTCACTGACCTGCAATGAAAGCCTTATGTTCAGCTCCAACATTTTCTAACAGCAAACAAGGAGGAAAAAAAATGGTTTCACGGAATGAACTGTTAAAAAAGAAAATCCTCACATAAGCTTTCCCCGAGGGGGAAGAAATATCCACAAGCTTTAAATTGGCCAGGCGGATTTAAGAGGAAGCAAAAAAAAAAAAAAAAAAAAAGGCAGCTCTTTCTGTTGCGTCAAAGAGCCCACTGTGCAATAGGAACAGTGAACAGAGTTGTGAAACTGGCAAGCCTTTGCTGAAGACAGCTTTTCAATATGCTCTCAGCATCGTCTCCCAGGGCTGGCTGGAGACAGTCCCACTCCTCTTATATGGGCTCTACTCCTTCAAGAGGCAATCGCTCTTAAGGACAGTTTCTATAAACACACTGTTCTCCCGGCTTGGCTGCACATGATGAGGGCAATTGCACACGTATACATACCTGCACTCAGGGAGCAGACCTGCAGGCACTTGGGGAAAATGAAGGCACACTCCAACTAGCCATCATTACCTTGGCTTAAGAGCAGGATGCTACTGATGACTGACTGCTTGCTAAAACTCCCTTCCCCACTTAGACCATTCAGTGTGCTGCTGGAAAGCAATTCTGAAAGGCACAGTACTTAGAGAGGAAACCTCTAATGCAATTCTACTAGGGAGTTGCAGCCCCAGCAGTGCTCTCTGACTAAAGGAAATCAGTAGTCACATGCTGCTGCCTAGCTTTGTGTGTAGTGCAGAGGGCTCGAAAGGCCCCCAGAGACTGCAGCTACATGGAATGAATGAACCATCCCTCCCAGGAATGATGGCTCCATCACTGAGGACATCTTTAGGGGCTGAACCCGTGTACATAAGGTGAGCAGAATAACCTGGTTAAACATTAGTAAAGCCACACTCATCACCACATACAGGAAACTGGCACACAGATCTCTGCAGGTGAGGACAGCGCCCTGCATTCCTTTCACAAGCCATGGAGATCTGAGCAAAGGCATTCAGAGCACAGTTCAATGTACTCCAACCTGCATCTGGTCTGCTGAGTTACCTTCTGGGCTTCACTGCCTACAAAGGGAACCCATGATGGCTTTCCCAAGAAGAGGTTGCAGACAGCAACATTTTTAGAGATGAGTGCCACTCCAAATGACAAGGCGATGAATGTCTGCAACGTGTGCGCAGAAAGAACTTGCAAGGAAGAATGGCATTGGTAAGGGACAGGAAAAGAAAAGGGAAAATACAAACTGTGGAATGCACTTTTCAATGTGACTGCAGAATTAAAAGTAGGGACAAACATATGCAGCTGGTTAATTTAGAATTTATCTTCTATTTATACATCTTTTGGAGTTGCCACAGGGACATAATGAGCCTGATATGTGGGAAGGCAGCAGAAGGAAACGAAGTATATGCAGGAGTTAAATTCTCTCTATTTGTGTTCTTTCTCTACTTTATGAACTTCTGTATGGAAAAATTACTGGTTTAACAGCTTCTCTTGAAATCCTTCCAGGTGAAAATGAATTTCTCTCCTAAAAAGTGTTTCCATAAATGACAGACTAAGTTTCTGCAAAAAGTACCTTCAACTTAAAAGTGAAATACAGCATTTTCTAAGCATTTAGCCCTGTAAATTTAATACAAGGTCCTATTTGTGCACCAAGCAGTTTGCTGCTTTATTCTGTTTTCACAACACCTGACAACTCACTGTTTCCAAGCCCCAGCTGTAGTGTCACTGGAGTCATATGGGCGTAGATTTGGCCACACGAGAGTAGAGTGATTAATAATTCTGTCTGTGCTGTGTGGAAGATAATTACAATCTGGTTCAGTTCCCCAGATCTAAAAGCTAGGCAGGTATTTTAACACCTCTCATAATAATAATACCTGCTCATAAGATTACCTAAATGTTTCCTCCTATAAATCCAGACTCCCCACCACTCATCAGTGTCACACTGCAAGCTGAAGGAAACTGGTAATATTTGTTCTTTTCTTGAAATTGATTTTTGTTTAATTGAGTATAATAAAAGTAGATTAATTTGCATGTTGAGCAGGTGGCTGGAGCAGATGATGTCCTGATGTCCCTTTCAACCTAAACTATTTTGATTCTGTGAAAATGAGGTCAATTATTAAAAGCTGCCTTAGGCTATTACAGAAATTAAGTGGACTGCGGCCAACTTCAGTGTTTTGAAGCCATAATTTGGATTCGACTGTCAACTGCAGTTTTAGAGTCAAAGATCTCCATTATGTCACTTTGGGAGAAGCTACCAGATCTGCTGAAACATAAACCATAAGCATTTGTAATGATATTGCCATCTATGAGGTCATTAATGGATATCACTTTATGGAGAGGGTTCCCACACATCCCTTGCTGCTCCACTCTTGGGTTCCCAATCTCCGTTTTTTTTCCCTTCTTATCTATCACCCAGTCATCCAATCTCAATTTAGTGTTCTTCAGCTGCAAGAGACAAAGAAAACACTGAGAATTCTGAGGGACTAAATGCCCAGACAACTCATGTCAGCTGTAGAAATTCCTCTGCACAAAGCAAAGGACACAGAATTGACAAAAAAATCTACAAAATAAGAACACCATTTGCATGATCCCTAGTTTTTGTGTAGACTCCACTATACTGCTACCTCAACACAGAATGTCTTCTCCAATGCCTCATTCAGAAGATGTTGAGAAGATGACCCCTTTCAAATCCTTTCAGTACTATGCAAAGCTTTAGCTTCCTTGTTACCCATGCCAGACATCAACTCCTGCTCCCCAGGCCTAAGGAGTGGCTATCAATTCAAGCCCTCACCACTCAGCACAGCATTTATCCCAGCTTTTGCACTGCCACATCACAGACCACTTTATCCCATACCTGAAACCCAACATGCACACCCTTAGGGCTTTCTGTAAATACTCCAGTCCTGTGTAAGTGACAGCAGCCTACGGCAGCAAGCCAGGAAATCCAACACAGAACAAATGCTATCTGGTGGGATTATACTGATCCAGAAATGTGGAAGGTGGAGAATGACATTCAGAGCCCTTTGCCGCTGCCAAGTGCCAACCCAACACCTTCCAAACACTCTCTTGGCTCATGAAGACTCGCTTTTGTGGTGCAGGAGGAATTTGCAGCACTACCACCAAGGTCTACAATATGGCCTTTGCACACATCATATATCCATCCCCGTGCTGCATCAGCTACTGCCTGAAATATCTCTGTTACTCACCGGCCTTCCTTAAAAAATGAGACAATCTTCCCAGGGAAAAATCATCCTTCACTACTGCCTTGAGGTCAGTGCTGCCTCTTTCCTGCTACAGAATGTCACAAAGCCTCTTCCTGAAAAACAAGGCTCATGTAGGTATTTCAGCTGAGTCCTGTATTCCTGCAGGAAGGAGGCTGAGTGCACTTCCAATTGTCTAGCCAAAACTTTGAGATTCAGCATGTCCTGCACTGTGGAAATCCAAACAGCACAATCTGGGCAAGAATTCAGGAATGCCACAGTAAGTGGAGAGGAAGCTTCAGACCCTGACAGACGTAGCCCAGCCCCACCACCACCTACACGCTTGGCTCCTGGAATGGGAGAGTGTCCGGTTTTCGGCTGTTTGAAGGGCCTGGAAAGGCCCGGAGTGGCCTTGGGGCAGCCTGCGAATCAAAGGACGAGAAGAGGCTTCAGTTCTTCTTTCGGTTTTTATGTTTATTAATTGTTTATCTAAAAGATTTTCTTTCGGCCCGACAGAGGTCTGCTCAGCAGTCAGCCATGAGCACACTGTGCCGCCCTCTGGACAGCCACCTATCTTTATACCCATTGTTACGTGTACAATATTTATCATTTTTCCCCAATACCATTTATTCTTATTGCCGGGTGCACTTTTAGTAATGACCAATCCAAAAGTGCCACCATCACCAAAGAAGATGGAGGAGAAGAAGAAGAAGAAGAAGGACAGGACACACCCCAATTCCTCCATCTTGCTTCTTTAAACCCCCCTGTACATAAATCCTAAACCCTGTGTCTCACCCTCTAATTAACTAATCCCTTCACCATTCACCCCGGTGAAGTCCTCCTATCCTCATACAGGTGTCGTCTCCCGTGTAGGGTCAAAGTCCAGCCACCAGACACTTCTGGCAACATTCCAGGACTCCCGAGCCCCCCAAGGGTGGTCTCGGTGGCTCGGCACCTCAGGACTGAGATGCTGAGATCCCACAGGAGAGGAGCATGCAGTGCCATTGGCACATCAGTAATTCAAGTTTAGAACAGCAGTGGCTCTAAACTGTTGGCCTGGCTAAAAACCAAGTTTATATTCCAAGTACCTTCAAATGCTAGTCTGATGTCACCTATTGCAGACACAGTGCCCATATTCTGAAGAAGCACAGTGCTCCTCTTCCTCCCATCCACAAACCCATTAGTGGTGTTTCTTGCTTGCTCATGGAATCACTTGCCCCAATCCCTTGCAAGTCTGATCCTGCCGCCTGTCTTGTATCTATATGAGGATCACAGAGCAAACAGTTTTACCTCCTAACTCCAGGGGTCGGGCAGCCTGAATATAAGTCCTTTCTTGGGTTTAAACTCTTCCAAGCCCCAACCAGACTGTGCCCTTCCGACTTCTTCTGTCAAGTGATGCTGTTTGTACCATAAAAAAGTGGACCTTCAACTTCTTGCCTGGAAGGGCTGAGTGGACTGGCAAACACATGAAGCATTAGGAATGCAGAGGCAAGGATTCAACAACTCTCTGCAAGAGACAGCAGTACTTCATTTGAAAAAAAAAAAAAACCAAAAATAACAAAGTATTTACAGTTTTAAAAGAAATTTGAAAAATAATCCAGTGTCCAGAGGACACACAGGCATACACAAAAGGAAAAAAAAAAGATAAAAGGGTGTTTCTAATTTATTGGAAGTATTCCCCCTTGCCTAGTGGATTAAATACAGCAACATCTTGCTTTCATGACACCTTGTGAAACTGGTTACAAAACTGCCATCTTCCTGCCTAGCTGATATCTAGCTGATGTCTCAGGGGTGATTCTGTACCAGCAATTTTTTCAGGGCACTCCTCACACATCCATTAATTTTCAGAAATAACTGTTAGTAATCCCCTGCCCACCCATTTCACTCCTGCAGCATCCTGATTCTGGCCTCACAAGCAGCATATGGGGAACCCCAACTAGCCCATCAGCTCT